GTTGTGGGGTGGTGTGTTTGTGTGTGTGTATTGTGGTATGTATGTATGTATGTATGTATGTATGTATGTATCCCTGCCTGTCTGTGTATGGGTATGTGCATGTATATGCAAGTGCCTGAGAAAACCAGAGACATTGGGTCCCCTAGAGGTATAGTTACAGGTGGTTCCAGTGTGGGGTTGGGAAACCCTTGTCCTCTAAACAGTATTACCATGTGTATTGTCCATATTCATAAAGTTTTTTCTATAAAGTCAGAGAGAATTTTCTCTGTAAGTTATATATATATATATATATACACACACACACACACACACACACACACACACATATATATTTTAGCCGAGCGCTGGTGGCGCACGCCTTTAATCCCAGCACTAGGGAGGCAGAGGCAGGGGGGTGTCTATGAGTTCGAGGCCAGCCTGATCTCCAGAGCGAGTGCCAGGATAGGCTCCAAAGCTATACAGAGAAACCCTGTCTCAAAAACAAAACAAAACAAAAAAAAATAACTACCGAACTGTAACCAAATAAAGCACACAAAAAAATCTGTGAAGCTATATATCTTTTTTAATAATATTGGCAAATTTGGTTGAATGTTGTTCTTTTTTTCTGCAGAGTATCTTTAGAAGACCTGTATAATGGCAAGACAACCAAACTACAACTTAGCAAAAATGTGCTCTGTAGTGCATGCAGTGGGTAAGTGTATCTCTGTCTGCTTTTGAGTGGCGTGCTCAACTCAAACATTGTCTTGATTTCAAGCTTAACAAGCAGCCAGATATTTTCTGGTGTTTCTGAAGACCATTAAAGTAGCTATACTGCGGAGTGAAAAGCACAGTTTATTACTGACGGCTTGTAAACAAAAGTGTAACTCATATTTTTGCTTTAGCCAAGGTGGGAAGTCTGGAGCTGTTCAGAAATGTAGTGCTTGTCGGGGTCGAGGTGTGCGCATTATGATCAGGCAGCTGGCTCCAGGAATGGTGCAGCAGATGCAGTCTGTGTGCTCTGATTGCAATGGAGAAGGTAAATGCACCAATATTTTTATTGCTTTTATATTAGAATATGTTGGGAACATAGATGTTGGGAACATTTACAGTTTTTCTAAATATGCTTATATTTATTTTAGTCTATAAATGAGATCTAACAGAAGATTGGAAATTATAATACCGTTGCTGTTTGGGTGTAGTGCCTCTAACCTAGACTGACCTTGAACTGTGTATTCAAGGATGATCTTGAATTCTTAATCTGCCTCTACCTCTGAAGTGTTGAGATATCTTACCAATCCAGCTAAAAATTAATCTTTATTGCCTAACTTTTAGGACTTTGGGGGCATTCTAAAAAGTCCTAAATCAAGTTCTAAATCTATTTTTAATAGTTTAGCTGTTAAATGAAGTAGCTTTAGTCAAGGAAAGGAGTGATGTGTCTAGTATTAAGATTTATTTTATTATGTATAGTGTTCTGCCTGCATATATGACTGCAGGCCAGAAGAGGGCACCAGATCTCATTACAGATGGTTGTGAGTCATCATGTGGTTGCTGGGAATTGAACTCAGGACCTCTGGAACACTACCTAGTGTTTTTAACCACTAAGCCATCTCTTCAGCCCCCAAAATTTAAGTTTTTAATTAAATTAATTTATGTGCTAGAATTTTTTCTGAGCAGCACAGGAGAGAGGTCCATGGACCCAAGTCCATGAGTGTGCTTGGCAAGTATTGAACTATACCCACCAGCCCTTATTCTGACTAAATTATACTACCTGTGTCTACCCTGCCCTTGTATGGGGAATTCAACCTACAGTTCTTACTATTGAGCCACACTTCCAGCCTTCCCTTTGGCTAGTTCGTATAGTTGCAGAACTTCCTTTCCCAAATTGTTCTTAAAAGTGATCATTTTAAGAAAGTATATACTGGGCTGGGGTGATTCCTTAGTGGATAAAGTGCCTGCCTTGCTGGCATGAGGACCTAGCCATGGGTAGAGTCCCAGTAGTGCACCCTTAAAATCCCCATGCTCAGGAGAGAAGTTGATCCCAAGTGCTCACTGACCAGGCAGCCTAACTACTAGACCTAGGTCAGTGAAAGATTCTGTTATAGAAAATGGGATGACACCTAGGTGTCACCCTCCCCAGCTGCATGTTTTATACCCCTGAGGCATCTCTGCATTTTACCTTGTTAAAATTGCTAGCTTCACTATCAAGAAACCAGAGTTAGCTGAAATCTCACATCGGGAAGCAAGCAGAGCAGGAGGAGAGTGAGTTTCAGGCCTACCGTTCAGTATTACAAGACCCTTTTTTAAAAGCAAGTGCACTGGTGCTCAGTGATTAGAAAACTTTGCCTTTCCCCCACACTTAGATACATCTGGAGTTTTCATTCATTGTACCATAAGCACATATTAGAAGAGAATACCTACAAAAGAAAATCTGTTAACCTAAACTTGGTACAGAAGTATTCAGTGCCAGCTAAACACTCAGACATCTCCGGTTTTGAGAATTTTCAGTAGTAGTCAAACTACATAAAAGCAGGATTGGGGGGTGGGAGGACAGCCCAGTGGTAGAGCCTGTGCAAAAATCTGGGGCTAGTCCCCAGCTACTATCTGAGCAAAATTTAGTCTTGGGGGTGAGGGGAACCCAGTACCAACTATACAGTTCAGTAATGGGCCACCAAGGATATTTAAGGATTGAATATAGATCAGTAGTAAGCTATTAGATTCAGTAACCCCTCCTGGAAAGAAAAATTGAAGTTTGACTTGGATTGCCTCTGCCTGATGGTAACCTACTTGGAATTAGAACTGAAAATTTGCAGAAGTCTTTGTGGAATCTCCAGCATCTAACTGCCCAAACATTTCCATGTTCATTAGTTTTAGGGAGTAGAGCCAGGAACTGAGGAAATGTCAAGATGTTTTACACTGTAATCTTGGGTAGCTGGACCCTTTGGGTGACCTCTAATAAGATAGAAGTTTTGTCATTCACAGTAACTGTAACCATTGGTGCCCAAAATGTATCTTTGAATCAAGGGCACTGTCAAGACTCTGCTTAAGACTGGGGTAATTTTTCTTACTGGAAGCTTGAATGACCTCTCTTTGCAGGAGAGGTTATTAATGAAAAAGACCGCTGTAAAAAATGTGAAGGGAAGAAGGTGATTAAAGAAGTCAAGATTCTTGAAGTTCATGTAGACAAAGGCATGAAACATGGACAGAGAATTACATTCACTGGGGAAGCAGACCAGGCCCCAGGAGTGGAACCTGGAGATATTGTTCTTTTGCTACAGGAAAAAGAACATGAGGTAATTTCCTTTTGATTTATTCACTTTTTCCCCTTTTTGTTTTATTCAAAATTGATCTTGCTTGTGAGAAGTAGGATAGATGCCTTGGAGTGAAACCGGAAACAAATGAAGTTGTTAGGGAAGCGTGGCTAAGTTAAATTTTAGTTTACAGTGAGTGTGTGGCTTACTTACAGAAGTTGACTCCTGTAAACAAAACCATTAAGATGGGTGTAGTCAAAAGTCTTTGCCCTGTCATAACTGTAGCTCAGCACTCTGCCCTTAAATAATCCTATTGTCTCTGTACCTCATTTTCCTTTATGTAAAATAAAGCCATTGGACTAGATAGTGTTAGGAAACATAGTTTTACTAGAGAACTCTTTGGCTGCATGGTGGGTGGGTAAGAGTCTTCACTCCTCAGCACTTCTCCATTGATCAATTTTACTGTACTTATTGAATAGGCAGCTAAGTTTTCTGAGGTTGGGAATGTGTTTCTTAATGTAATCCTTTTTAATGGTGTGATGGTAGCAGGGGGCTTGTTCATGTTACAGTATGTATCAGAGGACAACTTTCTGGAGTCAGTTCTTCCACAGTGGGCTCTGGGGGTCAAATTCAATTTAAAAATTTTTATTAGTTTCTGATTGAATGTGTGTTGGCTATATCTATTATGTTTGAAGCAACATGAACTTGTCTAGCAATGAAGTTCATTGTGTGCTGTTTTTGTTTTGATCATACCACTGAATATTTTTGTTTGTTTATATTTTTGAGGCAGGGTTTCTCTGTGGCTTTGGAGGCTGTCCTGGAACTAGCTCTTGTAGACCAGGCTGGTCTCCAACTCACAGAGATCTGCCTGCCTCTGCCTCCTCTAAGTGCTGGGATTAAAGGTGTGTGCCACCACTGCCCAGCTGAATTTTTTTTTTTTTTTATATCACTCCCCTTACGCCCCTTTCTATTTTATCACTAGGCTGACCTCCAACTTGCCATCCTCCTTTCTCTGTCCTATACTGCCTTGCTTGGCTTACCTATAATTTGTAATCCTGATGGCCCGTGTCTATGATCCCAGTACTTTGGAGGCCAAGACAGGACTATATAGGGAGATTCTTCTTCAAACAAAATTAATGGCCTACATATATCCTGTCTACTTCTGTCCTAAAGAATGTGTCTGCAGCTGTTGGTTTATAAAAGAGCTGTTCCGAGAAGCACATAGTCCTTACATATGAAAACATTGGGCAGGGTTCTGGTTTGTACTTGGGGCTTATTTAAGAGTTGTCCAAAAGATTGTATTTACTTTTTATTTAGTTTACAGACTTGATTCACTTTATTTTTCTAATATACAGACCCTATTACAGGGCTGGAGAGATGGTTCAGTGGATAAGAGTACTTGCTGCTCTTCTAGAGGATTGGGGTTCAAGTCCCAGCACTCACCTGGCAGTTCACAACTGTCTGTAACTCCAGTTCCAAGGGATCTGACACCCTCATACAGATACACACCAGTGCACATAAAATTAAAACAGCATGCCCCCCCTCAAAAAAAAAAAAACTCATAAAGCTGGGCAGTAGTTGTCTACACCTTTACTCCCAGTGCTCAGAGGCAGAGACAGGCTGATCTCTGTGAGTTTGAGGGCTGCCTGGTCTACAGAGTGAGATCCAGGACAACCAGGGCTGTTAACACAAAGAAACCCTGTTTTGAAAAACAAAAAACAAGAATGTACTTGCTGAAGACTGGTGGTGAATTCCTGATAGACCTGGAGAACATGGACTCCTTCCAGAGGTCAGAGTTCAGAAGAAGGTCTTGAAGAAGGCATCAGAGGTGGCCTTGGCAAAGTCACCCTTGGCAGTGCAGTCCCAGCTGTAAGCAGCAGCTTCTTGGACACAGGAGCAGAGAGAGACAATGCCATTGCTTCTGGGGGCAGAGATGAGGTACACCAGCACAGAGCCACAGGGCCCATCACCTTGCATAGAGTAGGGATTTCTAATCTTCATCCCCCTTGATTTTGGTCTACTTGCCAGGCCAAGTGTGCTTTTGCACTGGTGTGATCTTTTAAAACCTCATTCTTAAGAGATGATTTCTGGGGACTGGAGAGAAAACCCAGTGGTTAAGAGCACTTGCTTCTGTAGAGGAACCTGGTTCAATTCCCAGCATCCACATGGTGGCTCACAACTTTTTTTGTTGTTGTTTCTCGAGACAGGGTTTCTCTGTAGCTTTGAAGTCTGTCCTGGAACTCACTCTATAGACCAGGGCTGGTCTCAGACTCAGAGATCCGCCTGCCTCTGCCTCCCGAGTGCTGGGACTAAAGGTGTGCTTGACCATCGCCCAGTGGCTCACAGTCTTCTTTACTATTTCCAGAAGATCAGATTCCCTCTTTGATCCCTGTATGTGATGCACATACACAAATTAATTAGGATTCTCTAAAGGAGCAAAATTTACAGAATGCGTATAATATATCATGTGTTACAAAGAAGATTTATTAAAATGGCTTATAGGCTGTGCTCCAGCTAGTCCAACAGTGGCTGTTCCAAGTTCCAAGAATCTAGTAATTTGGTCCGTGAGGCTTGATGTCTCAGCTGGTCTTCAGTATACACTGGAATCCCAAAGAAGTGGGCTCTAATGCCAGTGAAGGAAAGGACTTGCTGTCAAGAGTGAGAACAAGAAAGCAGAGAGAGCAAGCTTTCTTCTTCCATGTCCTTTATATAGGCTGCTAGCAAAATATGGCCTAGACTAGAAGTGGGTCTTCTCACCTCAAAAGATCTGACCAAATTAAAGGTGTATCTTCCCATCTCAGAGATCTGGATTAGAAAGTGGGTCTTCCCATTTCAAATGATTTAATTAATAGAAAATTCCTCACAGGTGTTCCCAGCCATTTGGGTTTTAGGTAGTCAAGTTGACAACCAAGAATAGTCATCACAATTAACATAGCATAAATAGAGATGATTGCTAGGTAAAAATCAATAGGATTCTTTGATGAACAGAAAGGACAAGTAGGTCTCTGGGGCTTGATCTTCGTGTCCTTGATAGGCAGTCCAGCTTGGTTACAGGGATCCACTCCTTGTCTTAGGCTTTGCCTCCATGTGTTCCACAACCTCAGTAGTGGATACCAGAACAGGGATGAATCCTCTTGTAGTGACTGTGGCCTCCCAAGCCTTGGTTCATTCACCATTTGGTCCATTCTCTCTCTCCCCCCCTCCCAGGTAGAAGCTGCCATTTTAAAAGTAAAACCACTTAGACATTTCAGTAGAGAACAAGGCCATATTGAAAAGAACATTGTAGAATTTGATTTCTCACAAAATTTTAACTTGCTCCCTGGACTGCCCTTTATGATCTTATGAAGAGTGTTATGTTACTGGTTATTTTTGACTTTTCTTCAATATTGAATATTTAAGATGGCAAGGATCCTTTAGCTGGCTGGAAAATAAGAACAGTTTCTAGAATTCTGCTTTAAGGTCATAAAATGATAAGATACTCGTGACTATGTTTTGATGAAGCCTAGGTTTTTTATGTATTAGAAAATGCTCTGTCTCTGAGCCACATCTCCAAGCCCTAAATTTTGTTATTCAAATTTTATTTAATGGCATTTTAGCTACTTCCTCATTTATTCAATATTAGTATTCATAATACCTGTAAGACATAAGAGGTAGAAAGCTAAAGGAATAACCACATCATTGAAAGTTGGTAGTGTAGATTAAGCAGTTTTATGGAACAGATACCACTAGGGATTATGAGTGTTGCACGTACCTTTAATCACAGTGCTAAGGATTAGAGTTGTCGACAGTGGTAGGATTGCATGGAATTGATTGCCTAGGCTAGGAAGTAGTAAAGGGCAGAGTGTCAGTTCTGGCTTTATTGTGACCAGGACAGTCAGTGTCAGTCAAGGGTAAGGTTTAGACAGCTTAATTCATCTCACTTGGAAGAAAAAAAATCAATAAACAAATGTGCTATAGTGTAAATTAGAACATACGGCTTGCTAAATATTGGAGAAAATCATTGGTTGTGTTGGGCCTTTCTCCTCTCATTCCAAATAGCTACCTGAAAAAATTAAGACCATAATTAGGTTCTGTGGGTGCAGTGGCTGAAACTGTACAAATGAGGTAAGAGTTAGTGAGCATTGGGGCTGTTGTGCTTTGTACATTCATCCTGCTGTGCTGCTCTTCTGTGAGTGCCCATGTCCATTTATTTGTACAGCATAGCACAGGGCTTTGGTTGTGTTAGTTCCTCAATAACTGCTTCAGAAATCATTGCAACTTCTGAATGTTTTATTATGTGGTGCTTGGTAGTCCTTCATTAATCTTTTCAAATGTTCTCTGGCAACAGAAAAGGGGAGAAGTTACGCATTTATCTGTTTAAATGTTCGCATCAAATTATCAAGTCATCCATCCCCCCAAAGGACAGCAACTCCTTTTTTTTTTTTTTAGTTGTTACTTTGATTGAATGCTTCTATACAAGAATGTGTTGTTACTTCTTGCTCCTTCTATAGGTATTTGGTAAAAATTATTCTTGGGCTGGGCATTGGTGGCGCACACCTTTAATCCCAGCATTCAGGAGGCAGAGGCAGGTGGATCTCTATGAGGTCGAGGCCAGCCTGGTCTCCAGAGCGAGTGCCAAGATAGGCTCCAAAGCTACACAGAGAAACCCTGTCTCAAAAAAAAAAAATTATTGGACTGTTGGTATCCTGAAAACAGAGGCATTTTATGGGCTTTTGTTTGTTTGTTTGTTTGTTTGTTTGTTTTGAGACAGGGTTTCTCTGTGTAACCCTGACTGTCGTGGAACTCACTCTGTAGGCAAGGCTGGCCTCAAATTCACAGAAATCTGCCTGTCTTTAAGTGCTGGGATTAAAGACATGCACCACCACAGCCCAGCTAGCATTTTTTTAGTAGCATTGATGCAGTCTGCTTTTTTAAAGTCTGATGACCCTGTTGTGAGGGGATCCTGAGTAAATGTGCATAACTAACTAATCTACATTCTTTGGTTCTCAGCTTGGAGCTGGAATCCTTTGGAGGGCTTACTAAATCTACTGGGTTGCTGGGCCAAAACGTCATTTCTAACATGCTTCCATTAGTGTTGAAGCTGATGTTCTAAAGCTGTTCATGCTTAGGATAGTTTATTTCATGGGTAGATTTGGGAGAATCGTTTAGGAAAAGAACACATTTTTCAGGTGTCTTATGAACCAGCCAAGATTGTTCTTCAGAGATATTACTGGGGCTTGCACCTCAGATTTGTGAAGCTAGTAAGAGAGAGCACCGATTGACTAGTGGAGGGAATTTCTGTCTTTGCCAAAATAGAAGTATGAAATGAACTTGTAAATCCACCTCATAAGCCCTAGAGAGCTAGAGGTTAGTAAAGACATGGGAGATCATGCTGAAGGGCTGACTCGGTGGATAAGAGCACTGGCTGAGCTAACATGAGGACCTGAGTTTGGATTCCAGCACCCACATAAAGTGTTTGCATGACCTCGTATGCCCCTCTGACTTGTGGATGACATAGACAGGAGGATTGTTGGGTCTTAATATGGCCACCAGCCTAAGTCTAGGTTCAGTGAGGGTGATGAAGCAGATACCTGTCCAAGCTTCTATGCATATACATTGGCATAAACCACATTCACAGGAGAGAGAGCCCATCTGAAGAGAATGGGGGAGGCTAATAAATGGAAGAAATACTCATGTGTTTCTAGGACTGGGAAAAGACTTCCCAGAAATTTAGGTGTTAATTCTTTTCATGGTTCTTTCTAGTGGTTGTCTTGTCTCTTTTGACATTGCAGGGTCAGTTAGTATACAAATGGGATTAAAATGAAATCAAAGATGGTTTGGCATTCATTTTGGTGGCTGTCTTTGGTCCAGCCAGTTTCTTTTAGAATTATTATTATTATTTAGTTTATTTTATTGCCTATAGACATCAGAAATTAGCTTGGGTAGAAATTAAGCTGGCTCACTTATTACTTAGGATAACCAAGACTTTGTTGTTATGTTTTTGTTTTTGAGAGAGGGTCTCTGTTGCCCTGTCTGTTCTGGAACTCACTGTGTGAATCAGGCTGGCCTTGAGCTCAGAGGTCTTCCTGTCTCCCAAGTGCTGCAATTAAAGATGTGTGCTACCTACTACTCCTGTTCCACAACACTTTCTAGTGAACAAATCTAGGTGACCTTTTCACTACAGATAATTTTATTTCAACTTAAATTTCAAATTTTAAGTGTAGATTTGGCGAGTTTAAGTAAAAATTACAAGTTGAATATCTTGAAATTGATTTTTTTTTTTTTTTTCTCTAAGCATCAAAGCTTAGGACATTCTCAGCACTTACTCAGTAACCTTTGCAACGTTGGTGCAGAAAACAGAGCTCTCACCTCCAAGGGACAAGAGAGTTTATTCCGAAGCTATAATGAGTGAGCATAACCTGTAACATGGATTCAGGTTATAGCAAAATTCATGTTCCAACATGGGAGCAGTAATAGAACAAAGAAAATCACAAATCAAGGCACTATTTAAATGTGTCAGAGGAAAGTAGGCAAAAGTACAGTAAGCTCAGCCATAAGCTTCAGTGGCTTATCTGTCGGCTCCTAGCTTTGGCTTGGTAGAAACTACAGTTTTGGATTGTTTTGTGTTTTTGAAACTACAGTTTTGTTGTTAATGCATTCCAAAATGTTTTATCTGTTAAGTCACAGGATGTTAGGTCTGACACAGCAGTGGGCAAATGGCTAATTTGGGGGACTAAAGATAGCCCCAAGTCAATTGTCATCATACTCTGGACCTGCAGTGTTGGTTTTATGCAGCTTCTTTCTGGAAACTGGGTCATAGCAGTATGTAGTCTATAAGCCGATACTGTAAAGTGGAATAAGCTAACTTTAGCATTTGCTGTATAATTTCCTTTTTTTTTTTTTTTTTTTTTTAAGGTTTTTGTTTTGGTTTTTTCTGAGACAGGGTTTCTCTGTGTAGTAGCCCTCACTGTTCTGGAATTCACTCTGTAGACCAGGCTGGCCTCAAACTCAGAGATGCACCTGCCTCTGCCTCCCAAGTGCTTGCACCATTCACTATACCTGTCCTAATTTTTTTTTGGAGTGTTTTTTTGTTTTTGTTTGTTTGTGGTTTTGTTTAGATTTATTTATTTATTATGTATACAATATTCTGTCTGCATGTATGCCTACAGGTACCGGGTCTCATTGCAGATGGTTGTGAGCCATCATGTGATTGCTGGGAATTGAACTCAGAACCTCTGGAAGACCAGTGTTCTTAACCATTGAGCCATCTCTCCAACCCACCCCCTCCCCCTTTTTTTGGTTTTTAATTTATGTTTATGCATGTTTTCTCTCTATGTATGTATGTATGCATGGGTACTACATATGTGCCTGGTGCCCACTGGAGGTCAGAAGAGGCCCTTGAATCCTTAACTGGAATATGGATAGTGGTGAGCCACCATGTGGGTGCTGGGAACCAAACCTCTGCAAGAGCAGCAAGTAGTCTTAACACTATTTCTTCATCCCCAAGTTTGAATTTTAAGTGAGATAAAACTTCATTGTACATGTATGTAGTGCAGAATTTAACCTATAATTTCCATGGCTGAGCCTTATTGGTTGAGTTTTTTTTTTTTTTAACATTGAACTTGGACTCCCTTCTTCCCTCGTTGGGATCATGTCTGGGGTATATTGCAGGTTGAATCTGTTCCTATGAAGCCATATGACCTATTTGGTGTTAGATTTAGGACATGAAATGTAATTGCAGCAGTACTGACTTTTGGAGCTTCAGCTGTGTCTTACATATTTTTTTAATAGCCCGGCCTTCCTAATAGAAGTTTCTGGCATACTCCTTGAGAATATCATCCCCAACCTACCCCACACCCCATCCACCCTCCACTCCCCAGGCAGGGTAGTGCCCTCAATGGGGGCTCTGCAATGTCCACCAAATCTTCCTGGGCTGGACCTGGGCCCTTCTCCATGTGTCCAGGGCCAGAGTGTATCCCTTCACGTGGGATGGGCTCTCAAAGTCCCTTCTTACACCAGGGAAAAATACTAATCCACTACCAGGGTCCCCCTAGAGTGCATATCTGTGGATGTCTGTCTCTGCTTCCATCAGCCACTTGATGAGGGCTCTTGTTATGGATCAGGTCTGCGGAACAGGAAGGAAGAGTCGAGAATATCTAGCTTCGCTAATAAACATTTTGGAAATTAGGGACAGTGGCATTTTTGCTCTTGCAGTGGGTGATAGAATTAAGATTCTGAAGGAATGCACTTAAGAAATGTGCAATGGGATGATGTGGGTTCATAATCTTATAAACTATGCTTGTGTATGCTTTGTCTATAGGTGTTCCAGAGAGATGGGAATGATTTGCATATGACATATAAGATAGGACTTGTTGAAGCTTTATGTGGATTTCAGTTCACATTTAAGCATCTTGATGCTCGTCAGATTGTGGTGAAATACCCCCCTGGCAAAGTAATTGAACCAGGTAAATGACTTCATCTGATCCAAGTTGTCCATATATTGTTAAAATTTGTATTTATGGTGGGTAACAAGAGAATATTATTGAATACCTTTCTTAGTTAAAATTCTTATCTAATTTACTTTTTTTAAATAATAGGATGTGTTCGTGTTGTTCGAGGTGAAGGAATGCCGCAGTACCGTAACCCCTTTGAAAAGGGTGATCTTTACATAAAGTTCGATGTGCAGTTTCCTGAAAACAACTGGATCAACCCAGACAAGCTTTCTGTAAGCTGTCCTTACAGTTCCTCACGCAGATAATGTGGCTGTCCCTTCTGCTTCCCCCCATTCCTCCTTGTGTTCTCTGTGTGTGTGTGTGTGTGTGTGTGTGTGTGTGTGTGTGTGTGTGTGTGTGTTTTCTTTCTCTTTGTTTTGTGTATAGGGTCTCCACCTGCACCCTGGGCTGGCCTAGAACTTATGGCAATTCTTCTGTCTCAGTCTTTTGATTACTAGGATTGTAGATGTGACCAGCGACTCCCAGCTCTTTTGAGACTGTGTCTTCATGCTGGCTTTTTTTTTTTTTTTTTTTTTTTTTTTTTTTTTTTTTTTTTTTATGTTTGCATGGTTGATGTTTTTTCTGGTCATTCTAAAAATGAGGTTGGCTAATATAACTGTTTATGGGGGCCAAGCAGGCTGGGTATGAGGTGCTGATGAGAGTCTGAACTCTATAGAGCACATCCCTCATTTGGCATTCTGTTTAGAAGTACCGTGGAACATTCTTGCCGGGCAGTTTTCTAGTGTTTGAATATGGATGTTTATTTTGTGTCAGTGTCAGCTACATAATGAGACACATCTCCTGTTCTTTGTTTCATGAAGGAATTAGAAGATCTTCTGCCATCTAGACCAGAAGTTCCTAATGTAATTGGAGAGACAGAAGAAGTAGAGCTTCAGGAATTTGATAGTACGCGGGGCTCAGGAGGTGGTCAGAGGCGCGAGGCCTATAATGATAGCTCTGATGAAGAGAGCAGCAGCCACCATGGACCTGGAGTGCAGTGTGCCCATCAGTAAACGGCAGGCAGCTGCACAGGTGGATTTTCTTTCCACATTTGCCGGATTTGCCAGCTGCTGGAGTACCTGATGAGTCCAGATGAACTGATGGACATCTGTTGATCTATGTGTAACTTCTAAAATTGGTATAGTATCCACAGAGTGTATAATTTAAACTAACCACAAAGCTTTACATCTTCATTTCGACTGTTCTGTAGCAGAGTAAAGCACTTGGAATAAGACTCCCTTTCACATGTGGGTTATAAGTTTCAGTCCTGGTATCTGCTTGATTTTTATCAGTTTTGTGTAGATTTTATGTTTCATATTTTAAACTCAAATCCAGCATTGTAAAGTTTGTACAATTTGTCCTAAAGCTTTGTGTTTGGCTGCACCTGCATAAGCTGCTACAAATAGAATAAAGAATTCATAGCCTGTATCTATCATTTAGATGCATGGAAAAATGGGCTTTGCACACAATGGGTTTGAAGCTGACTGGGAACAGTAGAAACAAATTACATTAGCCATGGTTGTAAAGTTTTTTTGCTTTTTTTTTTTTTTAAACCATTTTGTGAAAGGTTTCTGAAACTTGATAATAAAAAGCAGTTGGTGTAAATTATTCTGTGTCACATTTTTAGAAAGAAGAACATATTTTGAACTGTTAAAAAGTAAGGAGTGAATCGTTGGTTCTGGTTTTTAAACAGCCCTTAAAAATCCATTGGCTTGAAGCTTATGCTTCAGGTACCTGCCCATTTTATAGTTTACAAACACTAAGATTGGTTGAAACAGGCTTTATTGACTTCAGTTGATACTCTGTAGCATCAAGAACATCCAAGTTGTCTAACTCCCAGGTTTCCCTGAAAATTGGGACAAGCCCAGGCCTCTGTTATCCTTTGTACCCCACTTTTTGAAAATAAGATACTAGCAGATGAATAGTAGAACCATGTTTACACAAACCTGTTAACGCTGTTTTAATTAAATATTATGAAAAATTGCTCTGTCTCATTAAGTTGAATATCTGAATTTGGGGAGGCTTTGACTAATAGTCACAAAGTGGCTGAGCCATTGGTAAGGAGGGTTTGATCCGTGTCCTGGTCTGCATCTAACTCTAATTACAACCATCCTAATGGAATGAAAGGGTGTGTTTCTATTCCTCTGGTGATTACCTTTTTTATGTTTTTTGTTTTTTCGAGACAGGGTTTCCCTGTGTGGCTTTGGAGCCTATCCTGGCACTGGCTCTGGAGACCAGGCTGGCCTCGAACTCACAGATCTGCCTGCCTCTGCCTCCTGAGTGCTGGGATTAAAGGTGTGCGCCACCAACGCCCGGCCAGTATTTGTTTTTTTTGTTTGTTTGTTTTTTTAAACATGCTATTTTGAGTCCAAGTGACACCAGGTATACACACACATTTTACATTTGTCAAAGAAACAACAGGACAAAAAATGTAAATTTAGATTTTTTTTCCTCCAGTGTATTATACCATCTCTGAGTCTAATAGCACTTGAGTACATTTCTAGAGATATTAGAACCTGGATGGAAAAAAAATGTCCCCAAGCTAATCAAGACCTATGAGGGTTAAATTTTTGCCCTATTCACTCTACCTCCATTGTACAAAAATATTTTGCAACAAGCCTGGGCAAGATTCAGCAGCATAATAGTTTTGTATTTGAGGTTATTTCCCCCACAACACTTTAAGCCTAAGCAATGCAGTGATAATATAAACTTTGTAGCCTTTCCAATAAAGGTTTATAAAACAGTTAACTCAGCAGTCTTCAATTCTTCCGCTTAGGGTGTGGGTGTGTGTCTGTCTGTGTGTGGTGCTGGGGACTGAACTCAGGCCCATGTATGTGCTAAGCAGCTGTTTCCCCCAATTGAGCAATCCCCAGCTACCCACATTGTTTACTAGAACAAAGAAAATTTGCAAGTAAGGAAGCTGTGTTTGACCTTTAAGTGCCTCCAGCTGCTTTACTTGCTGGTTTCCATGCCGTAAAGTTTTATCTTTAAGAAAATGCCCATTTCAGTGATTTCCCATAGGTCAAGATTTGTGTAGCAAAACAAACACACCGAGTCCTTTTAGTCCCATTTCATTGTTTCCACCCTTTATGAATTCACTAATATTGTTTCTAAATATTGCACTGCAATGAGTTTTTTCTTACCCAGCATATAGCATTACTTTTTTTTAAACCAAGTAGTATTCAGTATGAATATGTCATACATTTTATTCAATTTCTAGTGGACATTTGGAGTATACTACTCAAACTGCAACTATGGATACATGTAAGTTTTGTGTGAGGTAAATTCATTTAGATGCATAATCGGCGTGAATTTGGGTTGTGGTAACTAACCATCTGAGGATCTGTACCTTCTTGTCCTACCAGCAGGGCAGGTAGGGTGTGCAGAGTGACCTACATCCCCACAACCAACTTGGTAGCAGGTAACTTTGGTTTTGATTTTTATTTCCCTGATGACTAATGTTCGAGAATCCTCCATGTGCTTAATTGGCCTTTGATGAAGAAGTATTTTTGTCTCTGCCCCTTTTCATGTTTCAGAATACTGTGTAGTCACCTGTATAGGCTCCTGTTTGCTCTGACTGTTGTAACACCTTGTTTTTGAGGGCTGTAGACACTTTTGAGGAGTATTTGTTTTGAGACAAGGTTTTGATGTTGTATCCTAACCTGCCCTTGAAGAATTCAGGGCAGTTCTGCCTCAGCCTCCCAAGTACCGGATTAAAGATGTACAGCAATTCCTGTTGAAGTGTCTCCTTGGGCCAGCACTTTCCCCTACTCCCTTAAGTTAGATTGTTGTTTATGTGTGTACTATAGCTAGGTCTGTTAGATGGCTCCAGCTCAGGCCCTTCTAGAAAAGAGCTCACCTTCCTGTCATGGTTTCTACAGCCCCTTTGTGAAGTGTAGGAATCAGTGTATCTAAGGATTTGTGATGGTGATAAAATTCTGGTTCGTTCTACAAAGAGGAACTTTGTAGAGGAATGAGGTCCATGCACTGGTAGCAAGTCACTGCTCAGCTGCTTTAGAAAACTACTCTCTGGGTTCTCTGATGGTCTCAAGATGGTGCTGTAACCCATTTGGTCTCTCGATCTCTCCCAAAAGAATGGGAATTTTCCCAGGAGTTTCATGTTGGGGGAAGAAAGGGTTGCCGGGCAGACCAGGAACTTGTTTGAACTTGTTTCCAGGAAAGGGATTTTCACAGTTCTAACAACCTGTCAGTCTCCCTGACAGGGTGAGACTGACTGAAGCCCAGACAACCTTGGGTCAGTGGTGGATGGGACCACTCCTTGACTGGGACTGCTTAGATGTGCAGTATCCTTGATGTTCTATTTAAAATTTGATTTCACTTGAGGACCCTGAGGATGGACTTGAGGGGTTTGCTGAATCTCTTGTCCTGTGAGAGAGCCAAAAATACGTTCTAAGTTTTGTTTTGTTTTGTTGTTTTTGTTTTGTTTTGTTTTGTTTTTTCAAGACAGGGTTTCCCTGTGGCTTTGGAGGCTGTCCTGGAACTAGCTCTTGTAGACCAGGCTAGTCTTCGAACTCACAGAGATCCTCTGCCTCTTGCCTCTCGAATGCTGGGATTAAAGGCGTGCGCCACCAACACCCAGCACATTCTTAAGTTTTAATTAATATGCCTAAGAGGTCTATGAAACATGCCTATGGTCTGTAAGCCCCTTGCCCAAGGACAGATAGTTCCTGAAATGCTGGAGGCTGTTGTTTATGGGAGTTCACAAACAAACCGTATATTTTCACTCCCCTAAACAAGTTAGTTTGGCCCATCTACACTGGATGAGGGCTTGATCACATGTGGATATGCCAGAATGTACACTTGGCCCTGATTGGATGTAGGCAGGAGGTATGCAGGCAGGCTGTCTGTTTGTCCCTAAAACCCGTGGGGTTTTTGCCTTTTTAAGCCCCTGCAAAATGTGAGTTGGTGCCACTTACTGGGAAAACAGATGGACCTAGCCAGAGAGTCCATCATCTGGCTAGTATTTAATTAACGCTTGCTTCAAATTTGACCTTTAAACTGTGGTAGTGATCTTATCTCATCCTGTGGGATTAAACAGCCCCACTTCCCAGTGTGGCCACATTGAATAAATAGATGATTTTTTTTTTTTTTTTTTTTTTTTTTGCTTTCCACTTAATTATTAATTTGGCTCTTTTTGTTGGCTTATAGAGAATGAGTGGCCAGACCTGACTTGGGACAAGTTGTAACTACCAAGTTCCATAACGATGCTAGGGTACAGCTTCCTCAGACTGACTAAAGGGATTTTTGCCACGGCTCAACCCTTCCTTGATGCATCTTAGGATAATAGTTCCTAAGACTTAACCCTAGCCACCACCAGCTGGTTTTGTGATAGTAGCAAGAACAAGTTAATTTTCAACTTTGAAGTTAGCAGCTGAGTACTCTAGTGCAGAGCCTCTCAAAAGCATGGCATGGGGGGGAGTATCTGCACGTTCTATTCATGTAACCAAAGCAGTGCCCTCCAGTGAACCTCCTCATTGTGATGGTATCTTAAACAACTAAGAAGCAAGTTTTAGAGCAGGCAAGTCTGTGGGCATTTCTGGAAGGGATCAGGGAAGAAACCTTTTCCTCAGAGTAGGCAGCACCCTCTGACAGCTGGCCCACATGTAAAGTGGCCCAAAAAAACCAGTGTTGCTTGTCTACCTGCATTTTTTTTTAAGATTTATTTATTATGATTTATTATGTGTACAATGTTCTGTCTGCATGTTGCCTGCAGGCCAGAAGAGGGCACCAGATCTCATTACAGATGGTTGTGAGCCACCATGTGGTTGTTGGGAATTGAACTCAGGACCTTTGGAAGAACAAGCAGTGAGTGCTCTTAACCACTGAGCCATCTCTCTAGCCCCTGCATTTGTGTGTCTGTCCCATTGCTGACCTGGCTGTCAACCATCTTTAGGTGACATCCAAATCCAGCTTCAGTCTGAACTCAGATGTGCAGGGTAGTCCTGCAGGCCTTCAGTGCCAGACTGGTACTGCTGTAGTAGCCATCTTATTTTTTTTTAAGTACTTTATTTAACTTTATGTGCATTGGTGCAAGGATACCAGATCCCCCTGGAACTAGAGTTACAGACAGGTGTGAGCTGCCATGTGGGTGCTGGGAATAGAACCCCGGTCCTCTTGAAGAGCAGCCACGGCTCTTGACCACTGAGCCATCTCCCCAGCCCCTGTAGTAGCCATCTTTCTGCACTGAGGAGCTACTGTGTTCTTGGCCCTCTTCAGTTCCTATCATAAAAGCCAATCTAACACAATTACGAGCATGCTATCCATTCTTTTCCTGTAGAGGATGCTGATGGATTCTGTTCTTTGGCTTCTCCACTGTAGAGAGAAGTGTTACTCTGTTTAACCACACCGTGTGTACCAGCTGTGGCTCCAAGTTTCCAGTCCCCAGTGTATAGCTTCCCAGCTTTCTCACTTGCCATCTTACAAGATGGGAAAGAGAACTAGCTCTTCCTTATTTTTTTGAACCATTGTTTTATTTTGTGTGTGTTGGGGTTGGGGGGAGCAGTGTTTCTGCTGCATATATGCTGTGTTCTCTGTCTGTGCCTGGTGCCTGTACAGAAGTCGGAAGAGGGTGTCAGTTCCCCTGGAACTGGAGTTACAGAGGGTTGTGAGCCAGACTGTAAAGTTTCTAGGACTGGAGGTGGAACTCAGTGGCAGAGCACCTGGCCTTGTATGCATAAGGCACTGAATTGGATCTGCAGCACCAAACACAAAAATTTTTAGTGCAGAGAACATTGGTGCAAAGTAGAATCTAAATAAATATTTACGGATGAAAGTACTCTATGCTCTTTTTAAACTAAATCTTAGATATAGAGGATCTGAAATAATAACCTGAAAACAAATTCTAGAAAAACAGTCTAGCCCTTTATTAGAGGAGGATTGTAGACTAAACAAACCATGTTTCTTCTTTTTCTGTGCTATGGCTGCCTTGGAACTCTAGACGTAGCCCATGCTGGTTTTGTTTA